TCCGTATTTCTACGTATATCGTCGTATTGCTCCGTATACGGTGACGGTGATATACGATCGTAATACGTGACCATGTAATACGGCAAAATACGGTCGTATACGGAGAAAAACGGACCGTACACGACCGTTTACGACCGTTTACAGACTCCGTAAACCTCGACCTGGGCATGTTCAAATGAAGATGCTTGTCAAAAAATTTCACTCCATTGACGTTCATTACTAAAACCACAATTTGTTGTTCCATTTTAAATACTAAAATAAACAAAAATTTATTAATTTAATTTCAAAAAGAAAATTTTTAGGTGGATACGACATGTTTTTTTCATACATAATATATACAAAAACTCGTTGAATAAAAAACAAAAAAAAATATATTAAAAATGACTATCATCACTTTCCATTGTTTCGAAATCTGATTTATCTTGTGTATCACATAGAATTTGTTTCATTAGATGATATGCATCGTTAATAAAAATATTTATTTCACCATATGATTCTTTTTGATAAACTTTTAATCGTCCTTCACCACAAAGTACTTCAAAAAAAAAAATTATTAAAAAAAGAAATCGCAAGCAAAGACTTTTTTACCAAGTAATACACCGAAAAGACGAGCTGCTTGAATTCGATTTGTATTTGGTTGTTTAAGAAATTCATTAATAAATTCAGAAATATTTTCATAAAGTGAATTATTTTTTCGTTTTTTATTTAATGCATTTGGTGTATTAAGTTTCTTTTTGGATATATGAAAATATTCTTTTTCTTCAATTAGTATCATTATAACATCAGATACTTGACCATCAATTCCTATTCGTACTGATGCTTCTGTTGGTAATTGCTAAAATTAAATAATTTATTTTAATTAATTTTTCAGATAAACTATATACTTGATCTAATGGAGGTACTGTATCCATCTGCATTGCTAATTCTTCAGCATCAATTACAGTTGGTTTTTAAACAAAAATTAATGGAATAGTTCTACTTGAAATACAATTAACACCAATTAAAATACTTTTTGTTGGTTTTGTTCTAGAAAATAATTTGAATTAAATCTTTTATTACATAAGTCTTCATACCAATAAATCGGATATTATATGTATCAATAGAATTTTTAATAAAAACAATTGCATCAGTAGAAAGTTGATCAAATGTAACAATTGTTATACATTCAGGTGCAATTGGTGTTATTTCCATTGATGGCATTGGTAATGCTGATATTTCAGATGGTATTGTGCGTGGTGGATAATGTTCATCAATTGTTTGTTCTTGACTTAGATGTACATATCGATCTGGTGTATCTAAATGTCGATCAACCCGTAATGCTAAATATATCAAAAAACTAATTATACAGAACAAAAAGAAAAAGAAAAATCATTACCTCGAAGTAAGTTTTTGCTTCGTTCTTCTGATGCAGCACGAAAAAATGTACATTCTTCAATATCCATAGCTGTTGTTGGTTGAACTGGTAATGATTCACCATAATGATCATTAATAATATCAAATTTTGACACTGCTTCCTTCAAAAAAAAATTTTGTCGTAATTTTTCGATGAAAATAATTTCTTACTTCAACTTCAGGTAATAATTTAATACGTTTACCATGAGTCGGTTTTGAAAATTTCCATATCAGAGGTGGTAAATTATCCTTAGTTAAAAGAAAAAAACAAACGATAATAAAGATAAAATTTTATTTTTGTAAAAAAAACAAACAGATGGTTGAACAGGTTCCGATGGTGTTATTTGACATGGAATTTGAATTGAAAAATCACGTTCTAATAACATTTGTTCATCTGGTAATAAATTTTCATCAATTTCAATTTGCCATTGTGTATCAGTTAAAATTGTTTCTTTTTTACGTGTTAATTTTAATTTAGTTAGTTCTTCAAATTCAAAAAATCTATAAGAAAATTTTCTTTAATAAATAAATATTTCGTTTGTCTTTACCGATGAATAATAGCATCTTTATATAATTTTTCAACATCATCTGAATAAAAAAAAATAAATGAGAAAAGAAAATTTACATAAGAAAAAAAAAAGTAATTTACAATGCCATAAAATAACAATTTTCGAATAAACATAATAACGACCAAGCATAAGATGACCATCAAGAATAAGTGCTGATGGTGAACAACGACGTGTTTTAGAATTAATATATTGAAGAACATCTTTATAAATATTTTTAAAAATCGGTGAATTAATTAATGTTTTAGTTACTAAATATCGTTGACCAGCACATTTTTTATATAAAATGAAGATTAAAATAAATTCAATTTAATTATTTTACCAAAGAATTTGTAATGATGGACTATGAGCAAAAACATTTTGTGATTTTTGTTGTCGACATTTTACTTGGTTTTACTGATGGTAAACTGAATTAAACTAGACTAATCTAACAGACGTATATATGCCCGTCTGTTATAGCGAGAGAAAACGAAAAAGATATATATATATATATGAATGAAAAGGAAACAAAAAGTTCCTTTTAGAGTCTATGAAAGTTTATTGTTTTATTAGTTGATATAACAAATATATTTCAATGAAAAATGTTTATATAAAATGGTTCCAATTGATATAATGTATAAATTTCTTTTAATTTTCCATGATTAGTTAGTTATATGTAAAATTTTTGATGTTTTCCAATCAATAGCAATCCATTCATTATAACTAAGTAAACAACATTGTATAACTGTTTCATTATAATCAATATGAAGTCTATATGAGCATAAACATTGAAAATTTTCTATTGATCCTAATTCAAGATATTTCATTTGATTTAAATTATTATTTATTATTAAAATACGATTTTTATTATTATAAACAATATTATCAATAGATTGTTTTTGAATTTTTTTCCAAGTTTTCAAAAATTTAATTGAAGGTATTAAATTAAATTCACGTATTGATGAATCCCATGCACTAATGTCCGCGCCAGAATAAAAGAGGGGTGAGTGTAAGCTCAATAACTCGACAACCGCAATACCTAGCTACCTGCGGTTTTCACCAATCGAAAGAGGAGGAGCGGGCACGTCTTTTTCTTCGATAATGTATAAGACGAAATTCTTTTAAAACTAATCATATTTGAAAAACATGCAAAACAACTCATGAAAATGACCTGTCAGCTAGATGAAATTTTTGTNGTGTGTGTCAAAAAAAAAAAGAATAAAAAAAGAAGAATAAGGCTCTTGCTATTGCCATAGTCAGCCACTACAACTACTATTACTTCTATTTATTTTTTGTCTCTTTCTCTTCTTTATCGTCGATGACGTTGGTAACTTCTTTGTGTTACTGACATCCCGTGTTTCAGAAAATGATGATGATGAAAAAACGCACACAACGGGAGGGAGATCGCTTGAATTAGCGCTCTTTCATTCGTTCGTTCGTTCGCTCAGGTTTTTACTGATAATGCTGGTGCCGATAGAAAAATGAAAAGAACTACACATACACACATACACCGAATGACAGAATAAAACTAGTCGTTGTATAGTAAACTCGTCGTTACTTTTTTTTCTCCCTTTTTTTTTCTTCGTCTTCCTTCTTCTTCTTCTATTCTTCTTTTTTTCTTGATAAAAATCTGTTGTTTGTATTTCAGACGGCAGCGGCGAACCAAATGGAAAAGAATGTAACTTTACTCATTCCCTTTCTACATTGTGCACGGCGACGCCTAGCGCTTAGCCCCGAGGCAGGAAATGTGCACGGGAACGACAATGAAAAGGAGGGAAGAAGAAAGCGAGAGAGAGAGAAGACGAGGGTGAGTGGGTGTTCCTGTTCTAGTAACGAATAGAAAGAATAGACTACGGGGAGATTGAACGCGGGCATGCATCGAACAAAATTGTCGCCTCTGCTTAATTATGGATGACGGAAAATGGAAAGAGATGGAAAAAAAAGAAAAGAAATAATAGCATGCCGTACTAATCCCCAATGCTGTGTGAGATGATAATCAGAAAGATGCATACTCACAAACAATCATCACAAAATAGACAGTTAGACAGATAGAAAAACTGACAGATACGAAGATATGTGCATGCGACTCACTATGGACTTACGAGTCGGGCGTAGTGCAATAGTGCTACACGCTACTATTCATTTTAGGTTGCATGCAACAAGCATCATCATCCATCTTTTATTTCCTCTCTTTTTTCTCCATTTTTTTCTTACAATGCCTTCGGGCCAGATTGGTTTAAGTCTTTTTCGTTGGCTTACTCCTATAACAGCCTAAAAGCTCATTAGTCTAATTGTCTATCATCGTCTACAAGACACTGGAAAGCGACTCGAGTGTCATCCGTTGTTTTCTATGTTGTGTGTACGTTGTCGAGTAGTCAGATCTATTTTAGTCGGTTAGATCGAAAAAGAAAGAAGGCGGGAGGACTAGTCTTGTGCACACACATGCTAGTTGATTGCATGACTTCCGGCCTGTCCGTCATGATAATGGAGATGCAAGAAGCCAAGTGAACTCAAGAGGAATTGATAGAGACTCGTACAAGATATAAAAGTATGAATTTTTGATGAGAGAAAAGGTCAAACTCAACTATAGTTAGACAATTATAACATGAGATGATGAATTTATCAATTCAAGAAAGCTAACAAAATAAATTGATGCACAAAATGATTGTCTATGAAGAAAGAAATATATCAAATGATAAACTCATATTTCGCTTGAATCATAAAGTCTTTTAGAATACTTATTCTCAATATTAAAAAGGTTCAATGATGGCTCTTATTCTTCTTTTTCATATCAAATGTGTTAGCTCGTGCAGTAATCATCTGCATCAACTACGACAATTACAAAACAAAAAAAAAAAGAAATTAGCTTCTCTCATGCATGAGGTGTGACGAGCTTGTCCTTGAATAACGTTATATTATTCTGTTGTTGTTATTTAAAAAAAAAGAAAGATGAAAAAAAAGAAATCTAGTTTTAATTCTTCTTCGATGTTTTCTAGTGCCTCCTACATACACACACACACACACATAGAAGGTTTCTTTCGATTAAATATTAGGCATATGTATGTTGCTTTATGTTGTTTTGTCTACTACAATGAGGATTATTATGATGATTGTGGCTTTTTTTTGGTTAACAAAAACTTTTTTGTTTATTTTCCAATGCAAAAACTGAAAATGATGTGTAAACATTTAAATATTAATTTTTACCTTCAGCTGAAACCAAATTAAGAAGTTTGAACAATTCTCGTTGAACTCGTGCATTTAATTCAATGATATCGATACATCGCGATACATTTGTGTCACACGAATTCGCCTAAAAATATATCAAAGACAAACAAAATAGACCGATGCTGTTTTTTTACAATTTCAAAAATTTATGCAATATTTCAAAGCTTTCTTTTCCTTTTGTCAATACTTTATTGAAATATATTCTTCTGGTTTACTTTGCAAACATTGAGTGACTCGTTATAGCCAACGGTCATACTTTTACATTGATGTACAACAGCTTCTGTTATTGTTATTCTTAACACTCACCAAATATGTGTCGTTGAAACGCGAAAGTTTATCTTGGAGTAAATTGAACGTTGACATATCATTTAAACGACGAAGAAAGATTTTTGCCGACATAATTGACTTGATTTTCACACTTTATGGTTGTTGATGTGATTGTAACTGTTGTTCTCTTGATGGTTCACTTTTCAAGACGTATATGTTGGTTAATGACCGATAATGAAGAATACTGTAGAAAAAAAGGGCGATCGAAAAAAAGAAAAAAAAAATATTGAGAGAATTTCGATTCACACAAACCAAGCAGAAAAGAACATTTCAACCACCGGCGACCACATTAAATAGAGTTCGAGAGAGAGAGGGAGAAGAAGGGAGAGAGAGGGAGCAAGAGAGAACAAGAATTTTTTTCGTTTTCGACACAAAAGAAATCACACATATTTGAATTAAGGTACAGCTAGTATCGGACGTCGAACATCAGTCAACAACAACACACGAATCGATCAATAGAAAGAAGAAGAAGAAGAAGACGAGAACGTTGTTGTTGTGGCTTTGACGAGTTTGTTAAAGTGCGGTAAAAAAGAAAAACGAGAATGAATGAGGAGGGGTAGCAAAAAAAAGAATTAAAAAAAAACTTCTCACACTCCTTATTCTAGTTTTGATGCACACAATGAAGATGAAGTTTTTCAGTGTATTGTAGTAAAAGGTTCTCGTGCAGGAAACAACATATATATGATTCCTCGCTTTCACATTTATTTATAATGTTGATGTAAAAATATTGACCGTCTGCATCATTTCACTTTTTTTCTTGTCATCAATATCTTTTCAAGGCTATTCTGGTTTTGCCATTGGTATGTGATGTCAATGAGTTAGCAAACTTTCTTTTTTTTTATAACGTACACGTCAAAGTATGCATCAAGGATATCTATTAACAAAACGTGGATAAGAAAAAATTGCGTAATAATCAATACAATGAAAAAACTTTAATAAAGTTTATTAGTTCGACTTAAAGCTAATTAGACAAAATATACACTCATTCAACTATTTTGTATTAAGCTCTGAACAAAATTAAGTGATTAAATCAAAGAAGATTCTTTCAACAAAAAAATAAAAGGAAAGAAAAGAAAAGTTTTCATATTTATATTTTGAATAGAATTGTTTAATATAAAAGATTGTTTGAGTTAAAAAAGTAACAATCTTAATGCTTAATGACAGCTAAGTACAGCTTCCGTTTTCATCCTATTAGTTATGTTAAAGCGGTAGATGGAATTGAAGTGCGACATAAACATTTTCAATTATTCAAGCTATTTAAACTATTTAGTGTTTGTACAAGATTTTACTAGTCGTCAAGAATGTTAAGCATTGTACTCATACAACTATTCTGAAAGGAGACAACATGTGGTTTGTAAAATGAATGTGTTGCACTAGTATTCGATTACTAGTACTAATTTAAGTTGTTTTTCTAGGCAAATAACACGAACTAAGTTAAGACTACAATGCTGATAGGTTTCAAATGAATATCAAATCAATTTTATTCTAATTATCATTAATAATAAATCATTTTACAAATTTATTTTATGATATTTTTAATGATGTTTTCAGAGAACTAGCAAATATTATAATTATTGAATGCAAAATAATCCTTATTATGATGTTGAAAGCTTTACACATAAGAAAAAACAATATTTTTTACTATTCAATAAAGAACGTGAAAAATTCAAATTTATATCTATATTTTGTACATTGTTAATCTCATCATATCAATTATAAAAGTCTGAAGATGAAAATAAATTAAACTTTTTTCCTTTTTCATCATATTGATCGAACAATGCATGTGTAGAACTAGGTTAATATAAAACAAGCTAAAAGCAATATTCATTTGTGTTGTAAATTAATATTTCCTAAGGCAGTTCAATATTTCAAAAAGAATTCTATTTCAACGATATCAAAAAGTTGATTTAATCTTTTTATAGAAGAACAAAAAAGAAAAGAAACAGACACAATACGAATATGAATAACAAACTGATTAGTTGCAATTGTTTTTAAATTTTTTTTTGTTGTTATCAAAAAAAAAATGAAAATGATACTTCTTGAATGAAATTGTATATTTGTAGAATAGAGTTTGATTCGTTCTCTATTTACTACATCAACTCGTTACATATAGACGTTCTTTTTTGCAACATTCAATTTAAGATGTACAAACAAAAGAAAAGAAAACCAAGTAAAAATCCTTATGTATTCTTTCTTGCTTTGTTATTCAACAATAGTTCTTGTTCGTTGTCGACGAATTTCATTATGTTTAGCAATTTGGAGATGTAAATCTTTCAAATCATGTTGAATTTCAGTTAATAAAGATTCTTTTTCTATGACAAATTTTTCTTTTTCAGCAGCAAAACGTAATTTTAATTCATTTTTTTTAACTTGAACAGCATCATGTGCTTGTTGTTGTAATCGCATACGTTCTAATTCTCGATCATCATGATCAACTTGTGCTATAAATGGATTTTCTGATGCATGTTCAATTCGTAAAACTTTTTTAATCCATTCATATACATCATAATCAGCATCCATTAATTTATTAAGTAAAAAGTTACGCACCATTTGAAGTTTACTGACAACGTTTCGACGACTGATTCGCTATATAAATTCAAATATGTTTATTATTAAAGTAAGACAAAAAAAAAACAAGAATGAAAAGCTACCCGTGGATCAATATCCCCATATTTAATATGCATTCGAATACGAGCAGTCAGCTTAGCAACTAGAAAAAGAAAAAAAAAAGAAACTAAGAATAAAAAATAAATTTTTGTTATTTATAGTTGTTAAATGAAAGGCTACCGGGACTCTTTTTTCAGGATTGATCTTTATTAATCTATAGTTAGCATAGACAATACATTTGAACTGTATCAAAAGATATAATTCTGAAAGATCAGCTTTGATCTTCATCTAGTTTTACGCTCTAAGTATTGTTCACGTTTTTACTCTTAGCTACGTACTAACTATCAACATAACTTTCTATGTCTCGTGACGAGATGCATAATAGAATTTAGAGAAAAACTCCGAGAACAATAAATCCTAGAAGCTGCTGGATTATTTTGTTATGATCTCTACACGATAAGCATTAAAGAAAAATAATGCTAACATAAGACTTTATACAAAACAAATAAACTGAAAATAGTTATTATTATGTTATAGTTAATTAAAAATAATCCTTGATAATATCATTTTGTTCTATAAATATATATAAGTGGATTTCTCTGGTTTCTTTTTTAATAAAATAGTACAAACATGATATATGGTCCTACTGGTTTGCACGAAAAAATGGTTCGGTTTTTTTTTTTATTTTCATGAACTTTTGTTGCAAAAAAACTATGAAAAATATTCACAACTCGGAATTTAGGAGAGAATCTCAAAAAAAAACAAAGTTCAATGACAATTATGAAAGTAACAATATGATCTTATTTTTAATTTTTATTAAGATAAAAAGCAGAAACTCTAAAAATATTATGCTAATGACATTCTCTTTCTTGTTTCTCTCGAGAAATTGACGAGAAAAAAGTTATAAACTTTGTTAGACTATTCTAATAACAGAGGATCAATAAGTTCTTGTTCAACTTTGATTCGCTAGAAAATATATTCAACGAATGAAAAGCTATGAGTTAGGATTAGGAATTTTGTGTGCTTAGAAATCTCATTTCAATTTTTATTCAAGAATAGTGAAATAATCTTTGAAAAATTTCCACAAAAAAAAACTTTGTTTGGACGAAACTTGTGGGCAGATGTTCCCGGTAAACGTGCTTATTCATTTTGGATTGCTTGAAAGCGTTGTAGACGAATGAAAAACTATAGATCGCTACCAGATATTGAAAATGGGTTTAGAAATGTTTTGTCTATTTTTGTTCAAGAGTAATGAAAACTTGTTTTGAAAGACTTGAAAAATGATCAAAATCCGTTGTTTTGTAGAGCAGCCACTTCTCCACAAAATTTGATATTTAACTAAGCTGTAACTTTTAATTAAGAGCTCCTTTTATCGTAAAGTGGCTATAGGTTTTTCAAAAAATAAGTATTTACGCAAAAATGAGAATTAAAGTTCCTTAACGAAAGACAAGAAAGAACTTCTTGTAGTGTATTTTTTAGGGTAACTTTTAATCTACAAGTTGATATATGAATAAGGCTGCAAAATTTTTCATTTAAATTATTATGTTGGTCTCTTCAAACATTATTTCACTATTGTCGAATAAAAATTTGAAACAGAACTTCTAAAGCTCATATTGGAAAAGAGCATTTTACCGCATAGTTTTTCATTTGTCTGAAATTTTTTCTGGTAGGTCAGAAGTGAACAAACATCTTTTGTAAAAATATTTCAATCGCCGGTTAGTTCTCTTCATTTTCTAATATTAAAGCTATCAAAATAAGTTGTACTCAATGTCAAATCTTTTTCTTTTGTATAAAAAACTCACTGAGAACTTCATATGATGATTGATCCAAAGGATGACGTTGAACAGCTTTTACTAAATAATCTGAATAATATTGTTGAATCTCAGCCTATTAATAAATTTCATCATCAAGAAAAAAAGGGCAAAAAGAAAAACTAAATGACATACTCGAGTAGCATATTCAAGAGTAAATACACGTTTAACAGCATCATCAGCACTAGAATAATTAATTTCAAAATTTTATTACGTAGAAAAAAATAGAACTACTAACGTTTTTAATTCTTGAGAATTTTCAAAACCAGGTCGTAAAATTTTGCTTAAATCAAAGTTTGGATAAGGGTCTATATCACCTAGAAACATAATCACAGACGAATATGATTTTTTTTCAAATCTTCATTAAAATTTATTCAATTCACACCCGTTTCCCATCTTGGTCTTGGTTTATACATGTGTGTAGGTAATACACGTTTATATTTTCCTACAATACCCGATGGTATTTTTGAAGCTGATCGTATCCATAAAATCCTATGAATTAGATTCGTTTGACTTTTTCCTAATGATTGAAAAATGAATGATGGTACTATTTGTTTTGTTATTACTGTTAACATCTAGATAAATGAAGCATAAATTTTTTTTCTCATATTTTTGGCAACTAAAAAAAAGAAAAAAAACAAGAAGAATATGTCTTTGTCTCTTACTCCTTGTAAAGCGAAAACGAACGAAGAAAAAGAAAAACCCGACTGATCAACAATGAAAAGTTTGGTTTATAATTTTAATTAGGTAGTCAATTTTAAAAAAATTCGTGTCTTTTTTTTGTTCGTTTAATCAACATCAAGGTCTAAATCAGATTGATGCTGCTGTGTTCCACGAGCACCATTTGATAGATTTGATGTCAATGATTGCATGAGATTTTCAAATGGATTTGATGATGGTGAAGATTTTTGTTTAAGACCAAAAAATAATGTACCAATTCGATCAACATATTGAAGCAAAGTTGAGTCACGTTCAAGTGATGGTTTATATGCACTAACCAATGATGAAAAACAACGAGTCGTTTCGGATGATGGTAATGCATCTAAATAAAATAATGTAACTTTTTCTCAACGAAACTCTATAATTTTATTGTTCTTACTATCTGACTGTTTTTCAACAATAGAAATAAATCATTGATTTAGAAAAAAAATAATATTTTAAATAATGATTTTTGTTTTTCAATAAAACAAAATATAAAAGACTATCTCGAGAGAAGCAGGTAACTAAGTTGTCGAACAAGGGAACCATCTGAACAAAGATACGCCATTCAAACTCATCGTGCATTTTGGTTAGACTAGCAAAACTCTAAAAGATTTCGTCTTCGTGAACTAACGAGGGAACCTTTTCAGATGACAACCTCCGTTTTGATTCGTTCGTATCTCATTTAATCGAGTATATTGAGGTAGTAAAAAGCCTAAAGGGATTTTTTGCCCAATGTTCTTCCTTTAAAAGTTATGGTCGTTTTATTGAATTTTCGACCCATTCCCAGGTATTTACGAAAAAATCAAAATAGGGAATTTCGACTTGATATTTCGCCTATAGATAGGCCTAATGGTCCTTAGAATATGCTGAAAGTTTCAGCTAAAAAGAATGTTCCTTTCTTGAGATATTGAATTTTCAAAAAATAGTCGCCTGCCACAGATTGGTCACAAAAACCGAGTTTACTTGAAAATTCAATATCTCAAGAAAGGAACATTCTTGTTAGCTGAAACTGGGAATGGGTCGAAAATTCAATAAAACGACCATAACTTTTGAAGGAAGAACATTGGGCAAAAAATTCCTTTAGGCTTTTTACTACCTCAATATACTCGATTAAATGAGATACGAACAAATCAAAACGGAGGGTGTCATCTGAAAAGGTTCCCTCGTAAGTTGTGATTATTATAGTGAAATTTTGAGTCAGCTTTTGGCATATGCTGAAAAATTTAGAAATAAATTTCAACATCAAATTTCGTTCAAATGATTCATAAAATATCTTGCAAGTTTTAGAAGAGAAGAATTCTTTTTTTTATAGAGATATTGAAAATTCTATTAAACTTAATTTTCGTAACATGTCTATGATAAGCAACTATTTTTGTGAAAATTCAATATCTTCACTAAGGAACATGCTTTTTGACTGAAGCTTGTAGAACATTTTATTGATCATAGAACTTATTTATGGATAAAATTTTACGTCGAAATACTGATTTATCGGTATATACCTAAAATTGAATCGAAAACTCAGTGGAAGAAATATAAACTGACTACAAAGTTTCTTGAAGATAATCGTTTCTAGGTTTCCACGAGTCTCGTCAAGATGTCCTTATAGGTCCAATATGAACTCAAATGTCAAGTGTCCGGTTTCCGAAAGACTATTTAAAAGTCCGGAAAAATTAATCCGATCTTCAAGTGAACGTCACTTCCTCGACTCTTACCCTGAATAAAATACTGGTAAGAACATAAATAGACTAGCTTTCCAATAACAAACTGTCAAGAGTTTTGAAATGATCTCTTCCATGTTGATTTATTAAATATATATTACTTGAACTCTACAAAAAGAATGTTACTAGTTGATAATTCATGTATAATATGCTCGACATAATTCAAACTTATTTTTTTTAAAGAATAATAGATTCTCTAAAACAATAGAACAGTCTTATTTTTTATAAACCATAACGATCGCAAAAGAATATGATGCATTATGTCATTAATCAGAATACAACTACAAGATATAAATATCTAACAAACATGAAACAACTGATAATCTTAGATCTTATCGTTTGGATTACTCCATTAAAATCATTTAATAATCTCTATTGTCTCAATTCGAATAACAAGAATAATTCATGCCAAGAACTCTTACGAGAAAATGATTTCAACTGATCAATCGATTTCGTATTCAGACTATGTAGATAAGGTAGACTTCATTGAGATATGAAAAACCGTAAAAGGATAAGTTCTTTTAAACTTTCTGTTCAGAGTTATAAGCATTTTACTAGAATTTTAGCCTCTGATATTGCATATAACAACAAATCGAGAAGCAGTATTTTGACCTAAAATTTTGTCTGTAGATAGATCTATTTGTCAATAGGATGTACAGAAAATTTCAGCATCTTTCGTGAAATACAAGCAAAGCAAAATACTTTTTTGAGCTGAAACTTTTAGGACATTCTACTAACAAATCTATCTGTTAGCAAAATCTCAGGTTGAAATGCCGTCATTCGATATTGCTTTGGTATATACAATGCCAGCAGCTAAAATCCTTGTTAAATGCCTATAACTCTGGGCAGAAGGTTTAAAGAGACTTATCGTTTGGAGTTTTTTTTTATATCTCACTAGAATCTACCTTATGCACAGAGTCTGAATTGAAAACCAATTGATTAGTTGAAAAAGTTTCCTTGTTAATATCAATACATAAAAGATCAATGGTTAAGATTTATTTCATAAAACAATCTAAATACACTATAAGAAGCTCATATTGAAAAAAAGAACTCAGTTTTTTAGTGTCATTTGTACCTATGAAAAACAAAATTTATTTCAAACATTTTACCTGACCGATGAATTGGTTCTCCACTAGCTACATTATTATTACTTGATGTTTTAACAAGAGTTTTTTTTAAACATAATAAAAGAAACCAAAGAAAATTTAACACTGGATAACCATTATTAAATGGTCCTGGTGGTGGTTGTCGAATTTTCGGATGTTGTTCAACATAAGTTATAAAAACAAGATAAGCTGTATGGAAATTACGTAGCAATAAATATTGTAAAACAGTTTGTGCAATAAATAAATCAATTTCTGATGGATAACCAAGTGTTTGATGTGCTTCAATAAGCATTGTTGCAAATGAGCGTCCATCATGCGAACGTAAATAATGATAGCGACTATCTTTATAATTTTTTTCTTGTTCCCAAAGTATATGTGCAAAACATTCATTTAGTTTCGGATGACCAAATTTATGATAAACTGAACGTTTTGATGTTTGCGTTGATGAATTTGATTCCGTTAATGTTGAAAGTATTGATGTTGATAATGATGAATTTGATTCTAAATGAGGAGCAGGTAATTGTTCATCTTCTTGTTGATTATATGGTATTTGTGATGACCAACGTAAAACATTACAAGCAAATTCTGTTCGTTCATCATGATTAGATTTTAATAATTGAAATAAAACACAAATATCTTTAAGAAGATTATCAGTTAAATCATTTATATTTGAACGATTTAATGTTTCTATATAAGATTTACATAAATCATAACCACTATTTGATTGATTATGTTCAAGAAAATAACAACATGATTCAAAAAGAAATTTTAAAATATTTTCATCACTTGTTGATGAACGAAGACGAACATAGATTGTACGACAGATTTGATGTGCTTGATAAAAATCTTTATTTCGTTTACATTGTTCTAATTTATCATAGAGACGTAATGATGAAGCCATTATATTAATTTTTCTCTATCAACGAATATACTCGACAGAACCACCTATAATAACTAAATTTATGTTTTGGCCGATTGAGAAACGATTGATGATGAGTCATTATATCATCCTTACAAATTTTTTTTTTCTGTATATTAATTAATATAAACAAGAAAAATTCCTTTTTTTGAATTAAAATTAAATTCGGAAAATTTTAATTCAATGTAAATATTTTCTGAAAAAAATAAAATATTCATACGACATCTATTTATTCATTCGGTCAAAAGATGAACAAATCAAATCGTTGCGAACGATAAAGCTTTGTTTCATAAGGTACATTTCTTTGTATCATTGGCAATGACCTTTCTAATTCTTTAATGTAAAATTTAATGTGTTCAGTTTGTTTTTAACTTAACTTATTTATTAATTATGGGAAAACGAGGACGTCCGCCAAAAAGAAAATCTGCTATCAATACTCCATCAAAAGTTGACCAATGTTATACTATATTAAGTAGTGATGACGAAACTGGTAATAAAAAAGAAACTTTACGTCTACCATCTCCAAGCCAACGCCGAGGAGTAGGAAATGAACGTAATGAAACAATTATTATTACACCACCTGATCGTTCAAAACCTTCGACAAACAATGTTGAAAAAAGTACACCAGTAACAAGAAGCAATAATAATAATAATAATAATAATATTAATAAAAAGAAGGTTACAATTAATCATCATACCAAAGACAGCGAAGCATCTGGTGATACTGATGCGACGGAAGTGTATGTACACGCTTTTTGTTTTCTATTGAAATATTTCTATAGAGAATTTTTGGTTAGTTAAGTAAAAACTTTTCTAATAATTGCTACGAGAAGAGAGTTTTACTATAGAATTGCGATAATCGATTACTATGCTTACGAAAAACAGTCTTGATTAATCGCATGGTTCAATGATAGTGTCTGAACATGAAATTCATTGTGAGGGTTTTTATTGAAATTAGAGCCGTGTGGGATAATCTCGATAGACCCAGTTTTTGTCCGTGCAACGAAACATGCGAGATTGTTCTAGAACTTTTTGGTACGAAGCATTCGTGATCGGAACCTTCTAAGAATGAAACAGGATTCAGGACTCGAAAGAATATTGTCTCGGATGGCGCTAGTAGAGCGACATCTTTATGTTTCTCTCAGTCAATGGGATTGGAAGCTATTCAAGAGTCTTGACATGGAAGAAATGGGATTCGAGACTCGAACAAAGATTGTCCCACAGAACTCCAAATTAAAACACATGGCTTTATCTTTGCCGGTCATGAATATAAAAGTGTAGTCTGATAATAAAATCATTATTCGAAGTCCATAGATGTCTATGTCACAACTGAAAAAGGATTCGAGAGATATTTCAAAGTTTAGAAATAGTAATATTGAAGATCCTACGAATTTATGTATCTATAAAAACTGTGGACACTCAAAGCTGCAAAGAAAAGACACAGGTCGAATCGAATATCCTATGAACATCAGTTTTAGGTTGTGCTTTTTATTTCTGACTGGAATTTAACCATTTTTGTGAAGACAGATACCGACGATTACAAATATTTTGACTTGTCTAAGATGTTTTTGAAATAAATCTCAAGGTAACTGTCGTTATCCTTTAAAATTAAGTCCTCTAAAAAAAACTATTAATTTTCATAAAAAACATAAGAATTGCGATAAATGTATGGAAAGATAATGCGGGGTCTAATCTTTCAAAAATGACAAGGATTTTGTTTTTTTAGCACCTCATTTTTCCCAAGGAATTTCTGTCTTTTTGTTTGAAAGAGTATGCCAAAATACAGACCATTAGATGGCCCCTTTTTTTTTGAATTAACCATCGTTGCTATTATATAAAAGAGTGCTTTTATAATTAGGACTGCTTTTTGAAACATCGAGCTTTCCATCGTTTTTTTTTGCCTTAAAAACAGTAAGAATTCAAGAACAAGGGCTCTGCCATTTTTTGTTCTTGTTAGTTGAATATCTTGCGGAAACGTCATGGCATAGAGCTGAAAATCTCATGCGATTTGAATGTCCCTGATTTAAGATCGATCTTTTAGGAGTGCAGGGGGACGAGCGGCTTAAAACCAAGGCAACCATAAGTGTCCGTGTGGTCTTCAGTTTTTGCGCGTAGTCAAAAGTTAGCCTTAGTTACCTTGATATTTAATCGCACCACAGCAAACATCAGTTCAAATCAAAGTAAGCATGAGTGCCAGCAATTTTTACATGAATTCAACAAATTTCTACTTGTTTTCCCAATTATACATGTGACATAGAACTAAATACTTTGCAATTTTGCTCTTGTAGCTTTTACTAGTAAAGAACAAGCAATAGTTTCAATCGTAGAAAAATGTAGACTATTCGATGTTTAAATCCTAATGAAAATCGATTTTTCTTTTCTTTTTAATAGATATTCCGTTAGTAATGGTGATGATGAGGATTATACTGAAGAAGCACCAACAATTTCACCAATAAAACGTAAACGTAAACCACCAGTTATTAAGGTTAATCATGATCTATCAGAAAATAGTGATGATGATTTAACGTATTTACGACGTTCAATAAATACAAAACAAAGAAAACGTCAAGAAACCTCATCATCATCATCATTGTCAAGTGATGATAGTCAATCACGAAAGCGTGCTCGTCCACCTATTCCAACATTTAAACGAGCACAAGCAAAAAAGAAAAATAAAAAAAATTTCGATGAAACATCTAATGATGATGATGTTTTAAGTGATGGAGATTATAATACAGATGTTGAAAAAATGGATGATAAAGCATTAATTAAAAAAACTGAACAACGAATGTTACATGATGAAGATTTAACAGTTATGACACAAAAAGCATTACAAGATGAACGACAACGTGTACAACGTATTCAAGAAAGGCAATCACAATTACCTCCATCCTCACAAATTCTTATTGATGAGGATGATGATGATGATCATTTTAATTTGGATGATAATGTTAAAAAACAAGATGAGAAGAAAGAAACAAAATCATTAGTTTTTGAATATGATTCAAACACAGGTAAACCACTTATTTGGGTACTTCCTGAATTAGTAGCTAAAATGAAACCACATCAATTGGATGGAACTATGTTTTTATGGGAAAATGTTTTTGAATCAGTTGCACAAATTAAAAAAGATAATACTGGTACTGGATGTATTTTGGCTCATCATATGGGATTGTAAGTAATTTTCTTTATCTATGAACTTTACTCGAACTAATGGAAAACAACTGTCGATAAGATAGAATAATGATAATCTTAAGTCACAGCAACAATTTTCCAGCAGACCGAAATTGTAAAATTTAAATCAAAGTAAACTCATTGTAGAGAATGACTAGTTGTTATGAAATGATAGTTTTTTAAATTTCAAACTAACAAAGGAAACTCTTCAACTGATTAATATCTTTTAAGTTGAGACTAAGTGTATTATGTAGACTCTAATAGATTACGAATACATCAAAACGATTTTCGGTTCATAGTTTATTGCTGCCAACATGTTGCATTTTGACGATATTTTTCAATACAATGCTGTGAGAACTTCTCTCAGAAACGTCAAGAAAGCAAAGTTAGCATAAAATGACGAGAATAATCAATCATGAACGTAGCAAGTCATTTGACCTGCTCCTGTGTAGAAAGAAGAACAGCGAGTCTGATGGGTGTATACGGTTGATGTAAAAGGCACGCTTTTATTATAGTTGTATATTCGGACAGGTACAACGAAAATATGTGAAACTTTCACAATAAACTATATGTCCGAAGTCTTTTTGGAGTATTCATAATCTAATATGGTCTAATGATGCACATGTTTTCGGCTCAAAAGCGATTGATCAATTGAGGGTAGTAATGTGAGGGACCAAAAACACTTGGTCCTGCGCATCTTTGGTTGAAAGACTATTTTCATTAACTTTTTTTCAATTTGTTAAATTTTTCATGATTTCGAATTACGTGTTGACATTGACTATAATGTTTAGTTGTAATCTATCATTAATCACTCCTATTATTGATCTTACATTGAAAAAGTCTTAGGCAAGAGATATAAAAATGTTTAATTATCTTGATATCATGATTTTAAGAATACAACCGTTTAAAGAAAAAAACGTGTTAACTCATTTTTATGTAATAAACACTACAAATTTAATTATAGATGGCCAGTAGATTTTTTTTTTATTTGATTTTATTCAAGTTTTGTAAAAGTACCCAGATGACAGATTAAATTCAAATGCTGAAATATGTTTTCATAAAAATTATTACCTGAGAAAAAATCTATCATATTCATATTTATTTAATTTTTAGAGGGAAAACATTTCAATTAATATCATTTCTACATGCAGTATTTAAACATAGTGATATATCACGTACACGTACTTGTCTTATACTTTGTCCTGTTAATGTTATATCAAATTGGGCAGCAGAATTTTCTTATTGGTTATCAGGTGTTCGTCCAACAATAAAAGTTTATCAATTTTCATTATTTAAAACAAAATCTGCACGTTGGGAACGTTTAGAAAAATGGAATGATAAAGGTGGTGTTATGTTAATGGGCTATGAAATTTATCGTCGTTTATCAAATGATGCTGATTATAATTTTTTCCTATCAGATCCAGGTCCAGATATTGTCGTTTGTGATGAAGGTCATGTACTTAAAAATGCTAAAGCTGGAATTTCAAAAGCATTAAATAAAATTCGTACTAAACGACGTATTATTTTAACTGGTACACCATTACAAAATAATCTTCGAGAATATTATTATATGGTTCATTTTGTTAAACCACATTTATGTAAGTTTTAATAAATAGTTTATACTTTGTTTTTAATAAATAAAAAAATTTTAATTTAGTGGGTACTTATCGTGAATTTAAAAATCAATTTATTGATCCAATTCGTGCTGGACAACATAAAGATTCAAATATATATGCTGTACAATTAATGAAACGACGTGCTTTTGCTTTACATGAACGTTTACAACATTGTACACATCGGTAAAATAATTCTTTTCTTCTTTTATTTATTTCAATGATATTTCTTTTTTTAGTCGAGATTTTAATGTACTTCGAAAATACTTACCAGAAAAATATGAATATGTTGTTAAAATTTATATGTGTGATTTACAAAAACAACTTTATAATAAATATTTAAAAATTCAAAATATTGATCCATCGAGTTTGTTCCTTTATTTTTCAATAATATTTATTTTCAATTTTTTCTTTTTTTTGTTTTCATTTAGCTGGTTTTAATACGGCAAAATTATTTGCTGATTATCAATATTTAATGAAAATTTGGACAGTAAGTTTTTTTTTTGTTTTTATTTAAGATTTATTAAACAAAAGATATGATATATTTAGCATCCATGGTTATTACGACCACATTTTATTGATCGTTGGAAAAAACAACAGAAAAAAAATGATGATGAATCAGATAATATTGATCCATTCTTTGATGATATCTTTGCTGGATTATCTGATGATGATGCGGCTGCTGAAGATGAACCACAAAAGAAGCAATCGATACCAAATAAACGATTAGCAACAAAACCGGTATTAATAATTAGTTTTTTATGATAAAATTTTTATTGATAGATGATGATCGGTATTAGTCTGTAGGCATATAGTTTTTTCGAACGAGTCTTTACGTAAAAAGAATGACAAGAGAAAATCTGAATTCTTGATTAGTACTAAATGTAAATTAGATTTTGTAGAAAAAATTAATAGAACATATTAAACGAAAAAGTAAATAATAAAACAATAAAAATATATTACAGATTTATGTTAACCTGCAAGGAGAGCTGGACAATTTTCTCGTTCGGACACTTGCTTCAGAATAGATCATCGTTGACAAAACGTTAGTGGAAAACAAAAATAGATTCGAATATTTTATTTAGTTCTACAAAATCACATACAGAAATAGAAAAAGAATTTATAGAAACAATCAATGTCCAGTATACTTTAACTGATTGTTAGCGTTGATATAAAAATTTTCAATCAAATCTGATAGTTGTTTGTTGATTGATGTCTGCACATGGAGAATGGTGAGATGAGGATACAGCTAAAAATATGTTCTCTTCACTCATATCCATTCTCAAATCATCCATAGGGAAATCAGCTGATCAGTTCAAGCGATAGTCAAATGATTGATTTTACTGTTTGAATTCATTTTATTATGAATCATTCATTTAAAAATAAAGATAGAATCTTTTTAGTGATCGTTTGTCATAACATGCAACTGTTGCAGATCATCTGACGGAAAAACAACAACAATGAGTTAATAGACTGAGAGTTGATAATCGTGTTATACCTTACCAATTAAAAACAAGCATATATAACGATAACAAGTTATTTCATTTTTATATTAGAATAGTACATTCTGTAGAAAGAAATGTACATGTGAAAATAGACTTCTGTATTGATTTGAATAGTACGATTAAGAGAGAGAGCTAATCTTTTTGTTGTTTGGAAATTAAATTTTGAATATAATTAAAATAAAAGTATCTATTTATCAATTGTCTAGAGTAAACAAGAGCATCTGTTCTGTAGATAAATGCAAGAGCTAATCTTATATGACAAATTTTTGACATTCTCACTTGCATAATATTTTCACCAGGTAGGACAAAACAAAACTGTCCAATTTTATTCCTCAAACTCGAGAAACAAAAGGAAAGTACGTAGTATCTTAACAACCTTCCTTTTTCGGACAAGCAAAATCAATCCTCGGATGAACATTATCTTTCTCAATGGACCCGCCATGGCTGAGTGACTTTGCTGTTCGATACGTATTCATAATGTGCTGTATACAAATCTCAGTAATGGTTATTTGTCTTAGATCAACTGTTCAATAGCATGCTGATATACACTTACTCTCGAGGTTAGGTTGTGTGTATGGACAGTGTAAGAACTCTACATCAGATCGATTCTCTAGTCAAGGATACGTCTAGTCATAGTTGTAGCGAAAATATAAGGCTATTGAATTTACTGGTAGGCAATACCAGGTATCGCAAGATACGTGGAAGGCAGAGGTTATTCTTCTTTCTGTCTTCCATTGAATAATACATTCTGTATACGATTAACTATTCGTTTGAATAATAATTTAAAAGTACAGAATCGTTGTTACTTTGAATATAAATAGTTATTTGTCATTTATATAATTTCGAGAAATTTGTTCAAAATAAGAAATCGATTAAGTTTTATAAAGTTTTTCTTGTTAGTATGATGTTGACTGATTAATTTTATTGTAGAAAACGGGTGAATCCAACCATCATCGACATAAAAATGATGAAAACGATGGTAATTCGAGTTCAAATTCATCATCTTCATCTACTTCAGAATTTTTGGCTTTATTTAATAATACAAATTGGAAACAATATACATCGACATCATCATCATCATCAACAGCATTAGCACGTACTTCAACGACACCATCAACTTGTTCAACAAATGATCCATGTCAACAAGCAATGAATGACGAATGGTGGTTTTCATTTTTTGATAATACAGCCGAATATGATATTAGTTTAAGTGGAAAATTATCATTTCTTAAAACATTACTTGATGAATGTGAACAAATTGAGGATAAAGTATTATTGTTTAGTCGTTCACTTTTTTCACTTTCATATTTGGAACAATATCTTAAATATTGGGATTCAATTGCTAGTGGAAAAAAAATTCAAGCAGATGATTTTGATGCTAAAGTTAAAGCCAATGGACGATGGAAATTTGGTATTGATTATTTTCGTATTGATGGTTTGTATTGATATTTAATTAATTATTAAATATAGAAAAACATATTTTTATTTTTACTTTTTTGTTTTAAGGTAGTACAGATATTGCTACACGAACTAGTTATATAGCGAAATTTAACGATGCAGCTAATATTCGTTCACGTCTTTTTATTGTTTCAACAATGGCTGGTGGTATTGGTGTTAATTTGATTGGTAGTAATCGTGTAGTTATTTTTGATTGTAGCTGGAATCCTTGTAAGTACTAAAAAGAAATTTACTTTATATCAAAATTTTTGCTTCTTTGCGTTGTTTAGCTTCGGATTTACAAGCTTTATTTCGTTCGTATCGTTTGGGTCAAAAAAAGGCAACTTATGTCTATCGATTATTAAGTAAAGGTTCTATGGAAGAGAAAATTTATTTTCGTCAAGTTAATAAACAAGCTATGGCTCAACGGTAAGATATTTTACATATTCATTAATAATATTTTGAGTATCCACGAAAAACATTTTTTATTCTCTTGTCAATTGCCCGTCGTAATTGCGAATGAGAAAAGAAAATCATTCATTACACTATGAACGAATGCTTGATGGCACTACTAAACATAAGCGGGTTCGCCTGTGTTTGATTCCACTGGAATTGAGTCCTCTTGTTCATATCTAGACAGTGTGAAACGATTAGATCTATCCAATGTACTAGAATTGTGTATCATAACAACAATATCTATGACTAGCGATGTACCGAGACCGAGAGCTCGGTCTCGGTCAGCCTCGGCCGAGAGTCTCGGTCTTGGCTAGCCTCAACCTTGATATTGAGTAGTGCCAGTCTCGATTATGTTTAATCTCTATCATTTCTTTATCATAGATAAGTGTGCTACTCTGTCTCGGGCGAAATTATATTTCTGTAAGCTTTTCGGCTGAGATTGACCGAGACCGAGATCGACCGAGACCGAGCCGACTCGGACCGAGAGTCTCGGTCTCGGTACATCCCTATCTATGACCAACATGCTAAAGAAACAATCAAGTAACATGAAACCTAGTTCGTTGATTAAAAGAACCAATTCAAAAAGATTGAACACAAGGATTTTCATAGATTATATAAATTGTTCTCTTGTAGACATTGAAATATTTCTTGAATAGACTAACTCTATTTCTCTAAAGTGAGTAGAATGTCATAATATTGATAGCTCAAGTATCGAGATTCTAAACAGAAATATATTATGATATTCACCTAATGCTTTTCTGATCACTATATACCGTTAATTAAGGCATGGTGAAGGAATTCGTTGTAACGACGTGGATACTCATATATCGCCAGAGTTGAACATTTGGAGTGAAGAGTGTGAGTGCCAGCCTTATCTTTACCCTCTATAACCTACATCTGCATTCACATATATATGAATATTGAATTGATTATCCATCTGGTTACACCCAATTTACTAAAAATCCTAAACGAGTTGAATATATGCTTTACTGGATATCGTGATGTGTAGCTTGCCATTACCCAGCATATGGATATGACGGTATGTCTGTAAAATGAGAATGCATAATATAGATTGATTTATTTGTTAAGAATTAAAACTACTCGTTTCTTTATTTCAGTGTTGTTGATGCTCAACAACTTGCTCGACATTTTACTGAATCTGAATTACGTGAACTATATGCATTTAAACCTGAGGAAGATGAACCACAAGAATATAAATTGCATGAATTACCAGATGATGCTATATTAAGAAATTGTGTTAAAAAAAATCATGCATTAGTACAAAATATACTTGAACATGATTCTTTACTTGAAAATCATATTGAAGAGCAATTAACACGTGAAGAAAAATATTATGCCATTAAAGAACTTGAACGAGATGAACGACAAGCTGAATATCAGTCAGCTATTGCTAAAACATTAGCTAATCTTGCACATAATAATAATAACAATAATAATAATACAAATTTGCCTCAAAGTCATTCGGAAACAACATTAAATGATGCAAAAAAAGATCGAAAAATCATAACAGCACCACCATTAAATACATATAATCCGTATCAACCACCTCCACCAATGTGTGCACAAGCTCGTGCTGGTATATCAACAGCACAAGAAGCTCGTGGTCTTGAACGTTTAACAGAATTATTATTTCCAAAAGAAGCTCTACCACTTCCATGTGGTAAAGCAGCTGATTTACCACCATTAAAAGAATTAACTGATATGCCTGTTTCAAAAGATGAAATAGCTGATATTAATCTTGATGATGAAGAGTTTGATCCACGAACAAAAAAAGAAAAACAAAAAGCTTTATTACAAGAACAACGTGCACTTGTTAAATTATATAATGATAAAAAGAAATTATTAAATCCACCAAAAGTTCCAAAAGTTTTAAAACGTCCAAAAAAACTTCCAGCAGTAAATACATCATTGATTACAAACCCATATCAATTTATGCCAGTTACGCTCAATCCATTTGATATGCCACCTAATATGCAAAAACGTTCAGATTAAATTTACAATAACTGTTTTTTTTTGTCCGATAATGTAGATACTTTAGGTTGTGTGTGTGTGTGTGTGTATGTGTCAGATGTGTTTCAACAACAGCCAAAAAAAACTAAAATGTGAATTTGCCTAGTCATTGGCACTGATTACTCGTTTCTGTGTTGTAAAATGTAGTAATAAGGTATATACCTTTAAAATTTTTGTTGATCTCTGTTTTTTTTCTTTTGTTCTTTTTTTTTTCTCACCGGTTTTTTAACGATATAACTTGTTATTTCTTTCTTTTTCTAGGCGTAGAATTGCATTAGGATTTGTTGTTTATTAACATAGTCTTTATCAATATATAAGAATACTTGAATTGACATTTTTCTTGATAAGAAAAAAATAAATAGCATTGCTATCAAAACTTGAAAGAGATACATTTTGATAACTTTATGGTTTTGATGAAGGTGTTTTTATTTATTACCTTTGTTGTTGTCCACAATGTAGAATTTTTACATGGACAAACAACATGTCGATTTGCAGATTTGTTTACTATTGATGATCTTGTTTATAATCGAAATGATGCTATTCATCGATTTAAAATGCATATGTGTTTATGGGAAGGTAAGTTTGGCTACGGAGTAGGATATAATCATGAAACAGGTATAACATATGATGGTCACAAAATTGATTATACAACAGGTGATTTACATGAAAATTTACAATATTGGACGGCAGCATCAAAAGAAGCACTTCATGTTAATATGCTGTCATTATATTTGATGAATAACGTATATGCTCGACAATTTTTTGGTAATGCATCACAAGATGATATTGTGCAAATTTTAGAAAGAAAAATTGCATCATATAATGATTTTCATCGACGTTATCCTGGTTTCGGTGGTTTTTTACCTTGGTTTGCTGCTAATGGTTCAGCAATGAATTTACTCAATGGATGGGAATCTAAAGTACCTGGTCTTGATAATGGACAATTAATATGGAGCATAAAAATTTTAATTGAAACACTTAAAGTTAAAAACTTATTTAATTTAGCTGATAAATATCAACAACGTATTGAACTTATGACACAAACATCTATAGCAGTATTTTATGAAGCAGAAAGAGGTGGTATTCGATGTGAATCAGGTATATTAGATATGTTTAATGAAAGTCAAATAACAAATCCAAATAATTACGTAACAAGAGGTACTTGTTTATTAGACGATCCATATGAAGGTATTTATTCGAAATTCATTTTTACTTTTTTTTTTTTCAATATCAATTTTATTTCTTTCTTTTTGTATAGGTGAATTGATGGCATATTTTATGGATTTATATGCTCCTTGGACATTATATAATTATACAATGGAAGAACGTAATCGTATTTGGATATTAAAACGTGGTCGTCTTGTTCGTGATGAATATAATACAAATACGAAATTAAATAATGATACACAAAAACAGATAACTGTTCAACGTGGTTTTTGGTTTTCAAGTCATGAACAATGGAAATATTTCTATTTACCTTATCGAGATATTAATCTTCAAAATCGTCTATTTATTAATGGAGAAAAAGTACGTGTATATCATTCAGCACAAAATCATATACCAGGTTTATACGCTAGTGTAGCATCAGATGCTAAACCTGGTACTTATCAAGTTGATTATTGGAGTGCCTGTGGTATTCAACAAATTGCTTTTCAACCAATTGAACATGAATCAGTTGTTACACCATATGCAAGTTTTCCTGTTATTATGGCTAATGAATCAATAGGTTTAGCTTGGTATTTAAATATGCTTCAAGGTCCAGCTATGCAAAATATGTATGGAAGTACAGAAGCAACAAATATTAATGGTAAAAGTATATCACCAGTTATAACATGGGATTCAAAAATAACTACAGTTGTTGCTATGCTTAGTTCTCATTTGATTGATGCTTCACGTGAAATTCTTCAACGAGATCGAACTTATGAACGTTTTTATAATATAACTGAATTTGAATGGTCACAAGTATTTGATTTAAAACCTCTGTTAGGTGAAAATTTTCCATGGTCATTACCATCAATTAAAATACCTCGTCCAATTGATGGTTTACCAGATTTCACTCAATGTCGTAATATGTTTACTACGCCACCACCAACACCCATTTCGACCCTATCTTACTCATTATCCGCCTTAAACAAACCTTCTTACGTCATTCTCACTATTGTATTATTCACTCTTCTTGTACTTTTATCGAAATAAAAAGCATAAACATTCACATACTATACATTCTATTGTAGTTAGATGCGTCAATTTATTGATTATGATAGAAAGAAAGAATGAATGAAAGAAAAACAAGCGTAAAACGAACAGTAGTCGTGTATAGTATTTTATTTTATTTTGCGCATTTATAAAGAACATTTCGGTGTTTCTATTTGTAGCTGTTGTTATAAACGATCAGTGAATGAAATATTCTTTTAAAAATAGAAATATTCTTCATCTATCAGAGTTTTGTATTGACAAATATATATATATAGAATCCATTAATTTTATTCTTGTGCTATTAAATTTCTCTTTTATATATGTAAGCACGACAAAAGTATTGACAAGGTAAAAGCATATAACAAAATATTAATTCAAGAAAAAGAGCAAAGTTATGTGATATTATTGTATTTTCATTTGTGTTCGTTTGTAAATCTACGTTATATTATTATTTTTTCTTTCAGATAATAACAAATGGGTTCTGAACATTTAAGTCATTTATTTGCTGCCAAAGATCCAGCATATAAAGACAGCTCTTTTTTATCAAAATTTCATGCAAATGAAACGCATCCAGTATCAGCTGATCATTCTAAAAAGGCTCGGTCATCATTATCATCGATAAAAAAATTGAAATTAAAACATCGTTCTGAAGATAAAAAATTAATTAAACTTTATAGTCGACAATTATCTCATATTGAAACTACAGTTGATGCGATTGAATCATTATCAAAATCAAAGGATACTGAACACATTAAAATTATTTTATCTTATAGAAAACGTCTTACTAAACTTAATCAAGATTTTGAAAATCTACGTCATTCATTAACCGAAGAAAACGATAATAACTTTAATCGAATGAAAATTGAAATTGAACAATTAATAAACGATTTAAAGTTATATAAAATGAACAATGATGATTCAGGTTCAAAAAATCCTATTGATTATGTAGTGAATTTTTCTTTGGATGCTCCGAATTCTGAAAACGATGAAGAAATAATTTCAATGCAATTTTAATTGTATCTACAGATGACTCATATTACAATTTGTTCTCCTTTATAATTATATATATATATATATATATATAATACTTTTAATTTATTTGAAATGAATTTTTTGTTAATTGAAATATTTAATAAAAGTTATTATTTTTCAAATAAAAATAACGGGTGGTCCAGGATAAATGGCATACTTAGTATTCTTTGAATATCTCGCTGAGGTTTGATCGTAGAGAGTTGAAGTTCAATTTAAAAGACACCTCGTTGAATTCTCTAGAAGACGTGTATCAGACATTTTTCTGTGCAAAGCGAAATAGAAACATGAAAACAAGAATACTCAAAACGGTCAAAAGGACTAACTTTCTAAGTTATTTTTTGATAATATTTGGAATTTTTTTAAAAATTTCCAAAAACAACAAGAACCGTTAGTGAAGATAGTTTTGAGTACTTTGAATTGTGCTCTTTCTTGCCATGTAGCAGAACGTTCGTTACAATCGAATTGAAGATCGAAAACTCTGATTTTTCGAAATTTTATTAAAAATTCCATTGAAAATGGTATAAATCTCAAACTTTTAGCACGCCGAATTGAAGGAGAGAATTTTAGCCCGTCTTTCACTTCTGAATGTGGCACAGTTGTCATTTTTCATAAAAATAAAGAAAACCCAAACCCAATAGATGCTATTTTGGCTTAGTTATGCCTCTTTTCCCAGAAGATCCGAAATCGCAGATTGAAATAGTGAATTTCTTGACAACATGAAAAAGAAGTTTATCGGTGAACGCCGCAAGGATGAGCACAAAATTAATATCGATCGGTAGAGACTTTCAAGCACTACAAATTGCCTATATTATTTTATTTTCGTCGTCACTAGTCAACATAAAAGTCTTACAAAAACGATTTTTCAACTTAGAAAGTTGGTCTTTTTGAATGTGCTCAGTATTCTTATTTTCATATTTCTATTTCGCTTTGAACAGAAAAATGTCTGATACACGTCTTCTAGAGAATTCAACGAGGTGTCTTTTAAATTGAACTTCAACTCTCTACGATCAAAGCTCAGTGAGATATTCAAAGAATACTAAGTATGCCATTTATCCTGGGCCACCCGTTAGTATCATCAATATGAAAAACTGAACTTAAGATTTTTGTGAAATAATTCAATAGTAAAAATATTATTTTCAACTTCTTTTAATGTGGAAAAATACACCACGGTCATCATTGAATTATTTTTCATGTTTTTATGATCAATCACACATCTAATTTCAAATCTTGAAAATGAAAATTAATCACTATAGAACAATTTGAATAGTCAAAACAAATTAAAACAAAATCATCATAGCAAACTGAACGAGTAGTTTACAGCTACATTCGTTAATGATATTTTTTAAATTATTTTATATCCATAGAATGTCACTACTTCATATACAACACACGCTTATATAGGAGAGAGCAAGAGAGATAGGTTAGTAAAGGAAAGGACAATAGAGAAAGGAAGATCAGTAGAAAGTAATATCAGTATTGGCAGAAACACAAGCTTATTGATCATGTCACTCTAACTAAGTACATACATTATATCTTCATGCAATGAGTATCCTTCTTTTTTTATGAACACCTTGATATACCGAATACTCTTCAGTTGCCCAGAACGAATTTTGACGAGTTTGCAGTCTTTCTATATGAGCACCCTTGATTTTGAATGTGAACACATTTTTTGGTTCCATTTGTATGTATCGACTTTGTCAATGCGGGAACATCAGTAAAAGGCACTACTTAAATAAATTATATGATTGCAGCTGTGAAAATGATTATCAAGAAATGAATTAGTTTAATGAAAGTAAAAAAAGAGGAAAAAGAAAACAATGGATAAATATATATCATTGTCTTTTTGAATAGTTTCTCAACATTTTCCTATCAGACATGATATCTTGCGATGCTCTTGATTTAGAGCAGAAAAATAAATTTAATTAAAGATAAAATATCTGGTTTATCGCATTGTGAATTAAGAGATAAATTTCAAATGTTCATTGATGCTGTATCAAATACTCTTGAAAGGAAAAAATAAATACATTACTGATTGGGAAACTAATCTCAACAGAATGGTGAAGCGCAAGTTGGGTCATGATCTTAGCCAAACCATCAAAGACAATGTTAAAACCTTATTAAGCAAGATCTGTGCACAATATTTGAAACTTGTCTAGTTAAAAAAGTTAAAGTACTAATAGTCAAAAACTATTTCATAAAATAATAAAAAGCCCTTAAAAGGAGGCAAAAATTAATAAAAATGATATTTTGATTTCTATGTGCTCGATCCCCACGGTATTCCCAATGTAGAGGTTTTACTATAATTTTAATCATACAATCATAATATATATCATCTTTAATCATAATCATATTTCCATAAACATTCATTTTATTACTTTTAACTCAACATAAAAATACTAACAGATTTTCCGACAATATAATGATTGTACCTGGAACAGAAAATTCAGAATATACACTGAAGTCAAATTAATACCTACACTCTGATTAAATCGTTGTACGTTTCTCTGATTAGAATTATATAATAAGAATGATGTGATTATTATGTTTATGTTATCTGTTCAAGTTGTTCTATACTTTCTAGTCTATGTAATAAATTTTCATATTCAAGATTTTGATATTTGACGAGCGATTGATTTTAATAACATGAAAAATAAACTAATGATGACTGTGGTGTATTTTTCCACATTGAATAGGTTGAAAATTTTTCTATTAATTAGAATTAAAAACATTTTCTATGACATATATTTTCTTTAAACACGGCTAGTATTGAAAAAGTATGCTTATAAATATACAATACAATAAGAGATGTAAATCGTTGCATTGATTGGCGGCAGCAACTTTTCCAGGAATTTTGAAATTACAAAAAAAGAAAACGATTATAGGGAACTTATTAACAATAAACTAGACGTTAACATCTTTAAAAACTGATTTAGGACATCGAACATTTAAAAAAAACAAATATCTATTTTTGTATTGCGGTAACAATGACGCACTCGATCAGCTTACACTTCTAAATATAGCGTTCGGTTTTATTATTGTATAAATAGTGAATATGCAGAGTTGAATAGACTTTTGTATCAAGTATTTTATTAATAGTAAAGTAAAGGAGTTTATTTTCTTCTTTTATCGAAAAATGGTCTACATATTCTACGGATGATCATCTGGTTTTATAATCAGAAACTATTTGACGCCTATGTTCGAGTATAACAATTTGATTGATTTTGCTCTCGTTTATGGGATAGTCAATATCAATATGAAAAATTTTATTACAATTCAAAATAGATAAGATTAACCCATTGAGTATAGACAACACAAATTCGCATTCTGATACTTTGAGATCTGAATAACTTGAAAAAAACGCGATCTGTTGATTGTTTAATGATATGAATTGTCTGGTATTTGCGTTTTGGATATTTGTACAGTTAAGATTAGCCATATTTATTGATGATTAATGGTTGTTTCTTAATATTTCTGACAATCGGCTGCTGATTTAGTGCGTTAGAACATGAGTCAATTTGACAACATTTCTCGAGAAAGAGCCATCGCTCTCGAAAGGATGTTTCATGTTACGAAAATCATTCAAGAGCACTGTCTGTAGGAAAGATCCTGATCAATTGATCGTATTTGATAAATCATATAAAGTGCATTTTTTGACATAAAAGATCACGAAGGACAAAAGTCGAACATCTTTGCTTCTGAAAGTCTACTCCGACTCACAGCACGACATTTTCCTTCGCGCAATGTATCAACAGCAATTCAAGTAAATTCAAGAAGAAAATGCTACGTTTCCGCTTATTTTATAGCTTCCACAAGAATCGAAATAACTTCATGGCTATAAGAGGTATCGAGGACGGGCTGGTTTCAAATTAAAGCTAGCCTCTGTGCGCAACTTGTCAGCCGACAGAATTTTTAAATTTCCTCCCATTCGTTTTTTATAAGCATTTCAGTGGACATGACTTTCAAAGTAGGCCTAAAACCGGTCAACGGACGACAGTAAATCCAACTTTTCTTAGTCCAGGAGTCAAGTATTAAAAATCCGTCCGATGAAAAGTTAGCTCTCGTCAAGGCCTTTGAAATAAAAAAAAATATCGGGGGTACCACTCAGCCAAGCGGAAGTTATTTCAATTTTCCTGTCTGGAAACCATGTTTTGAGAAAATTGCTAAAGAAGTGTTAGAAATGGAGTTTTTCCGTCAAATGCAGAAAATAATGGTGTATTGATAATATTTATGTGGAATTTTTGAAAGCACGCAATAGATGGTGTAAGCTAGCACCACAAGGCGTACAATATGATAGAAGAGCGTTGCATCTGCCTATGATAAAAANGGCTATAAGAGGTATCGAGGTCGGGCTGGTTTCAAATTAAAGCTAGCCTCTGTGCGCAACTTGTCAGCCGACAGAATTTTTAAATTTCCTCCCATTCGTTTTTTATAAGCATTTCAGTGGACATGACTTTCAAAGTAGGCCTAAAACCGGTCAACGGACGATGGTAAATCCAACTTTTCTTAGTCCAGGAGTCAAGTATCAAAAATCCGTCCGATGAAAAGTTAGCTCTCGTCAAGGCCTTTCAAATAAAAAAAAATATCGGGGGTACCACCCAGCCAAGCGGAAGTTATTTCAATTTTCCTGTCTGGAAACCATGTTTTGAGAAAATCGCTAAAGAAGTGTTAGAAATGGAGTTTTTCCGTCAAATGCAGAAAATAATGGTATATTGATAATATTTATGTGGAATTTTTGAAAGCACGCAATAGATGGTGTAAGTTAGCACTACAGGTCGTACAATATGATATAAGAATGTTTATTCCATATTGATAGAAGTAATAAAGTAGTTTTCCCAAAAATAACAAAAACCGCGAAAATATCTCCGAAAACCGGGTAGTGAGGTGGAAATCTCCTACGAAAGTCTGTAAAAATTTGAGCTTTTTTTAAAAATTTATATATATTCTGAAAGAGGAAACTTCGTTACATCTTCCTATGATAAGAA